GAGGAAGCGGCCGGGGTAAACAGCAGAGCCTCTGGCGCGGTAGCCTCCGTTGAGCCGAGGTGGGAGGCGTAGCCGTTGTGCCGTGGCGATGGTGGAGGTCCGGCGAATGAGGTGGCGGGTGTGTGAGCGAGGAGCGGAGTGGCGAGAGAGGGAGCGGCCGAAGCGCGGCGTGAAACGCCCACTCTCCGCGGGAGATGCTCCGGTGCATGGGAGGTAGCAGGTGGGTGAACGCGGCGTCTCCGAGGCCCGCCCAGAGCCAAGCGAGTGCCCTCGAAGACGTGCTCTCACTCCGCGAAGAGCCGCTGTCTCTCCTTGAGCTTTTCCGCCCACAAGGAGAGCGCTACCTCCTGCCGCTCGTAGAGGTCCGAGTCCGCTGGGTTCCAATCGTGTCTTCGTGGCACGGGTCGTGTCATTCTGTCAGGCGTTGTGTGGAGGTGAGGGAGAAGGAACCCAAACGCAGGACTCGCAGGTAGGAGAAGATTTATTATCAGGAGTGGATGAACAGAGGGTGAATGGACACTGACTGGTTGGACAACTGAACTGAGGGAACACGCGGGAAGGACAACATAACATCAACATCAATGACGCGACAGTGAACGAGTAGAAACAGAGGGTTTGAATACACAGACTGATGATAATGATGATAATGAGAGACTGGTGAGTACACAGCTGAACATAATGAACTAATGATAAATGGGAAGAGGACTGAACATAATGCACACAGACCAAGGCTAACACAATAAAACAGCAAGTGGAACAGGCAGTAGATCAACAGTGAACGTGAACTGAAAATACTGGGTCAACGACTCAGAAACCCTGACACATTGACAGATATTTGTGGAATCGGTAATCTATCAAGCATTTCAGCAACCTTTTTTTCATCAACCGGATCTGAAGTGTAAAGATTGGAATAGAACATTTTAAACTGGTCATTAATGGTTTTCGGATCAGACGTCTTTTCTCCAGAGGTTTTACAGATTTCAGAAATCGTGTTAGCTGATATGGATTTCTTAATTTGATGTGCCAAAAGTTTTCCGGCTCTTTCCCCATGTTCATAGAACTTTTGCCTTGATTTGAAAAATAAACGTCCCAAAACCTGATAGCAAAATTTCAAAAGCGGGTAATGTTCTTAAATCCTTTATGCAATCTTATGCTTTTTTTGACCCCTGGAGGGACAAAAATCCTACATCTAAACAATTCTCATTTTTCTCACCAGTGCACCGGTCATACTCACGGATCGATTTTTTTTGTTGTAGATAGTAGAATTCTTCCCAAGGTTTTAGATTGCCAATACAACTCTATTGTTATCTCAGACCACAGTCCAGTACAATTAGATGTAAATTTTTATGAACGCTTTTAATCTATTGTGGATTAGGGCGTAGA